CCTCTTTATCTAATACCTGTGAGGAATATTACAATTCCTTGCATTATATCCTTCTTCAAACTGTCTAAGTCCATGCTCTGGAGCAAAGTGAGAGAGGAAACTATCATAGAGACTATTTTGACACTGGATGTTCATGAAAATGAAGCCCATAGGCAGCTGGGGCTAAGAGTGACACCAGCATGTGGATCTATTTTGGGACTGATATGAGGCTAATGTTTTCCATTCAGACACATGACCTCTGTTGACTTCAATGGACAAGATATTTGTGAACCGATTTTAGGAGCCACTGTTCTTTTACGCCCTGTTGAAGGAGGCCTAATGGCATCTATGAACTTAAGACCCAATATTTTTCCATGGTTTAAAATCTAAAAGCCCTCAGGTTCTTAAAAGTTTCAGATGTAAGATTATTTTATCTGTGAACGCTCTAATAAAGAGAACTGAAACATAACACATGACCTGTCAACTGAGGAGAACAGAGGGCCATTTACCAAGTTTCTTGCACATTCCCTTAGAACCAACCTGGGAAGAAAGTGAGAATAACTGCTAGTTCTAGTGAGCGCCTAATGGGTAGGAACACCAGGGATTTATTTTGTGAATGCTTCAAAAAATGGTTGAGGTCTTTAACCACTAATCTTCTGGAAAATATGTGCCTTTACTATCAGATGAGTAAGTGATCAGTGTTTGAGAATCATGAATGTGGCCTTTTGACTTCCCAAATATATGAGAATATTTTTTCTGACCTTCCCTTACTATAGATTCATAAAAATGACACTGCTTTGCTCAAGCGACTCAGGACACATGGTACTTCAAGCTTCTGCAGAAACATATCCCACATTAAATTAAGTTAGGGGTGGTATTTGAAAAATAAATAAATCATGGAGTTCCAATTCACTGCAAATGGTACAGGGGGGCCAGTAAGAGGGAAGCCTGCGAAAGAAGGACTTCTTGTAGAAAGATGTTTTACAGAACTTTTTCTGCATCATTAACTCCTCTTGAATCCTGAATATAGCATGATGAATTTCCCTAAAAAAGTAGCTACTGTTTAATTTTGAATCACTTCAAAGAGCCTCAGTAGAAGGAATCAAAGAAACCCGAAAGGACCAAAAGATGCAAAATTTGCCAAGGAAAAAACATGAAGGTCCTAACAGATTCTGACCAGGTACTGAAAATGCCACTGAGTATTTTGCTAATACAGTGTTTCACTGTTCCATGCGGCTGAAATAGGTCTCTGTATTCATCAGAATACAGGATATTTTTATTACAATATTTGTGTCATGGCTCTTTGAAAAGAAACATATTTAAAACCTTGAAGAAAAGAATCTCTGTCTTAAAATGCTGTGTGATGTGTAGGTGAGTGTGTGTTTTACTATAAACAGATACTTAGTTGGAGGTCACAATGCTGAAGGGAGTAAAAAGGTACTGATGATTTTACCCCTACCCCCAACATGCAGCTTTAGAAGAAAAAAATATAATTTTTTTAAAGGCAAAGAAATTTGGAGGGTGGGGGAAAGTAAGAAAGTTGGTCGGTATACTAAAATGGTTGCTGAACTTCAATAATAATAATAATTGGGCTTTAAAAATGTCTTTGCATGAAACCCGCCCAAGGGAAAAGAAAGAAAACCTCCTAAAAATTCCATATCCCCAAATACCACTACATCAAAAACCATCTGGAAAATGTCAGATAATGGTATCTGCCCACATAGGAAATTCAGTAAACTTTGTCTTCAATTACCTTTTACAATAATCAACTCAATTGAAATTTCAATTTGAAAACCCTCAGAAGACAAAACCAGATTAGGAATCAGATTCTAAAAGTCTCCTTAAGAGACCATCTGTTTACAGACACCCTTCTAACACCCCACCTCCTCCTTGATCTGTGCCATAAGTTCACAGAAGCACAGCTGAATTCACAGACATATTCACAGAATTCACAGCACACGGCTACGCTGAAGTCTAGTTACCACATACATGTTCTGGGTTTGTCTCAAGTTTCCCTTGTTATGTAAGCACTTAGAGGCAATAAATTTTCACTTACATCCAGGCACCGTGAGTCTTAAAATACCGATCTACTTGACTGTGCAATCCTTTTATTGGCAGCGGATAGCACTGGTGTTTTATTTATGTTGATCATATTGTCCATGCTACATGGAATAACCGTTTAGTAGTCTATTTATTAGCTTGTAACATTTTTATTACTATTGTTAAATATCATTACCCGCACTGAACTCTGCATTAGAAAAATCCAGTTCAGAAATCTAAATATTCAGAAAGAACTACAGAACTGCTGTTTTTTTCCCCCTCACATAATCTAGAGGCGGATGAGAAGAAAAACAATGAGTATTCACTTCTGGCAGATAGAGGTCACTAATGCACTGAATTTGAATCACTGTGGCAGAAACCACAAAGTTATTAAAGTAATCTAGTGAAAAATGAACTTGAATGGAAACTGAAGTAAACATACCAAAAGGTGATTATCCAGAAATGTCTGACCTGAATAAAAATAAAATTACATCACTATGACCTCTTTCAAATATTCTAAACAGAGCAAAATCGAGAGCCGCCTGTCACCCTCCTGTTTCGTAACTTCAGACGCTGCTGATGGCAGAAGCAGTGATTCTTTCTTGTGAAGAACAAGGCTGAAGAGTCAGGCTAGATCAGATGTTCACACTGGGTCTCTACAGAATAAGGCTCTGGACTTAGACATACTTGAGCCTTTCTTGAAACCACAGCTTCAAACCAGGAAGATATACGGTTGCTTTACGGAGATATGCCTAAATCCTAAATCAAACTCTCCAGCAGGCCAGAATATAAATGTAACAGGCATCAGAGGAGGCTCAAATTAGATCCAGCCGGTCAAAGTCAAACTCGGATAAGATCACCTCATCTGAAACCTAGCATACAGGAAAAACGCTGACTGCCTTGGGACCCCAGGCAGCCCAGCATGGCATTATTGGGGAATCCACTTTCTTCTGTAAAAAGCATCCCCTGGAGTGTCCTAAAACTGCAATGAAACAACTGAAGTGTTAAGACGTGGGCATTTTTTTTTTTTTTGTAAAACCAGCATTCCTTCCATACTAGGTCTGCAATAGGTTCTGCTGCAGTACAGTTAGTCAAATTCTTTTTTTTTTTTTTTTTTACAATTTCTTGTACCTACCAGTAAAGACATGTAATAATATTTGAAATTTCATATTCCAACCTCCTCCAGTCACAGATACTTGCAACTCAACATGAGAGCATGATGTTGCACTGTCATCTGTGGTTATTAAAAATCCTTAAGTGGTTTAACCCTATACTATTTGAAGCTTTTGAGGAGGGGAGGAAGAAAAGTTGTATTTGGGGGAGCAAGAACATTGTGAGCAAATAAGCAATTTTTATAATATGTGTATTACCCAAAGATTTTTCTCTTCTAATATGGTGGCCTGTATTATGGATGTGGTGCAGTTGCTCACTGATTTAAAGAAAAAAAAAAAAAAAGTCCAGTTCTAACACTTCAGATACTGACCTAAAATTTTACATTTATGCTGCAACAACCAAGTATATCCCTGGATAAATGCCAACCTGCAATCTGTTTACCTCAAAATGTTTGGGCGATCCTCTCATTGGGGATTTAATAAGGTCATAGGGTTTAAGTCCACAGACAATATCAGTTCTTATATGGAAGCTAGCCTTCATATTAGCTTTTGACTGGGAGAAGTTAGACATAATAAATTTAGCAATAAGCCTGTGAGCGAGTGGACATGCCCCAAAGCTCCCTGAAACCCTGTGTGATTAAAGAGCCTCCCAGCTGAGGGGAGAGCAATAGCTCCCATTTAGAAAAGGCTTTGCATAGCAAATGCAGCATGTAAAGAAATCTAATCAGAACCTTGCACTCCTGCCCGAGCATTTACACGGATTTGTGCCTTGCACTTGATTAGCTTACTGTAAGATTCCCTCCACCAAAATTAATCAAAAGCTCTTGGAGACAGATTTCCATTTACTAGAGAAGGCACGATGAGTTTCCAGGTGGATAAATAATGATCATAATAAAGATGATAGCCGCAGCAAACGCTGAGCTGCTGCGAAACTCAAAACTCGACTGGCAGCAAGGAGACGCTGGGGAGTCGGAGCTGGAATGTTTTTTGCTTTCAGAGTGAAAAGCGGAACTATTTTCCTAGTTAGCCTAAGTGAGGCTGCTGTTCGGGAAACGTGACCGTCTTCCCTCCCCTGCCCCTGCCTCAGTGCACACACGCGACTGCTCATTCCCCCACACCACAGTGCATCAGGTCACGGAGGAAAAACCCGCCTCTCCTCAACACCACTAACACACACTTACACACACACACACACACACACACACACACGGACCATCACTGCGAATTCACGTCACCAATAATTAACGCGCTTCATCTCACCTTGCAATCAAAATATGACTTCCAAAGTTCGTATTTTATGACGCCAGAAGGTGAATGGAACGGAGGGAGGGAGGGCTCCGGGATGTCAAAAGGGGAAAGGGTAATTTTCCCCTATTACTTGAAATGTTCGCACACCTCCCGCCTCCCCCAGATTTGCTTCCCTGCACTAGCTAAATGGGATGGGCGCACATCATTTTTAAAAGATGCAAAATAAGGGTGCGCGAGTGAGGGGGTGAGGGTGACAGTAGGTTAAATCCACATCTCGTTTCCGTGAATTTCAGAATACTAAAAGCCCTTGAATCCACGTTCTAAATTTCCAAGCAGCTACCAAATGAGGCACCAGCTGGGGCCGAGGTCTCTCGTCCATTCCCAGGGGAGATCTGCCGCGCTGCACAGCTGCCCACTGCGCGCGGAGAAGCGCCAAGGGCCCTTCTAACGTGACTGTAACCTCCCGGAGCTAGGTACCCATCCCCGCAATCTTGAACTTCGCCTCCCTGTTACTTTTGGCCAGACCTGGCGAGCGTCAGGAGAGGCGCTGGGAAAAAGCAGAAGCCCCGCAAAGGGGCGAGCGCGGAGAGGGCGCGGGTGGGGGTAGCGGGGGCACATTACCTGAGAAGGTTCTCGAGGTCCCCTTCCAGCTCTGGTGGTAATCCCGCTCAGCGCCGCGTCCTCCCCCAGATCCAAACTTTTGCTCGATCCCCCGAGTGTCGGCGGCGGCGACGGTGGCGGCTGCCGGAGCCCGGCCCTGTCGCCCGCAGCGTCGGGGCCAGGGGTGCGGAGGCCGGAGCCTCAGAGCTGCGCGCACCTCCCCGCAGCCAGCCGGTCCCCGGGCGCCCCCCACGCCTCGCTCGCTCTCGCCTTTCCGCCCTACCGAGCCGCGGCATCGTCTCTCCCCGTCCTCCGCCACCTCCGCCTGCAGGGCTCTGGCATGCCACTTTCTCTCGGCTCCGGCCGCCGGGGCCCCCGCCTCCTCTCCTCCTGTCTACGCCTCTCCGCCTCCACCCAGCCCACGAGTCCTGAAAGCAGGAGGGCGCGCGGGGAAGGCAGGGGAGGAAGGCCCCGCCGCGCCGGGGCTCCACGGAGACGGAGGCCCGCGGAGGGCGGCCGGAGAGCCGGGCGGGCGCGCCTCCGACGCCCGGGTGCCCGGCGCGGGGCCCGGCGCGGGGCGCTGCGCGGGGCGGGAGAGGGGCTCTCCAAGTGCTGCGCCGGCCGGGCGTGGGTCCCGAGGCTGCTCCGGTCTCACTGCTGCCTCAATCCGACGCGGCCCCGCTAATGTAGGCGCCGCGGCCCCCACCCTCACCCCGCCTGACACCCCCGGGAGATGTTTACAGTAATGAATTCGCGGGATCGGCTCTGCAGCGCCCGCGCCCCTCCTCTCCCTCTGTCCCTCGCGCTCCGGCGCGCTCCCCTCCTCGAGCCCTCTTTCCCTCCCTCCTGCCTGCCTCCCTCCCTCTCGGAGTCCCTCCCACGTCTCTGGTTTAAAGAATGCTTGGGAGGCGCGGCTGCAACCCAAAGCTTTCCAAGAGGCAAAGTCAGACTGGGTTTTTAACCCTATCCTCCCTGAAGAGAGTTGGAGAGTGGCAGGGCTTACACCACGAATGCCCACCGGGCCACGCACGCCTTCCCCCCGTGCTGCCCTGCACTGTGCTCGCCCCTCCCCTCCCCCAACACACACATACCCCGCAACTCTTAGGGACAATGCCAACGTCGCCGCGCTGGAAGTCATTTCCCCCTGACCTCCTGGTGTTGTACCTCCAAGCCAAAGGATTTATTAGACACTGAGAAATGACCCAAACATGAGATGAGGGGGTAAAGGCAAAACAAGTCTCTCAACCAAGATGGCGTTATTTCAAAAGCAGTCAGCCTTGGTGATTTACCCCCACCCCATCACTAGTTCCCTGATCCCGAACCGTCTTAAATAACTTTAATTGTGAAAATAATCCAAAATTTATAACATGATTATTTTTAACATTCCATTTTTCTCCCTGCACACTGGTCTGGAAGAGCGTTGTTCACTTTACCCACAGATAACAGCGAACCACCAAATTCAGACTCAAAGACTTAGGGAACAAGCTTGACAGCAAAATAAGCCTGATTTGTACACAGGCAACGTTTCCACTTGGCAACCTCTTTGCAAAGGTTAAAGAGTAACGTTAAGAAAACCAAGTGCATGTCACTTTCTTAGGGGAAAAAAAAGGTTCTGGTTTTCTTCTCTCATTTCATTGCCGCTCCTCCTGCCACCAGTAAGTTACAGTCATGTTTTAACAAGTCTGTAGAGAGACTGAATCTGAACAGAAGAGGGAGAGCGAGCTCGCGCCAGGGGCTTGGCTGCGCTGAGATGCGCCGTCGGTGGGGCCATGCGAAAAGCAACCCGCGAGCTTGAAACTAGCTCGGTACCAATTCCCCAGGGATCTGCTCGGCTACCGCGACCGAAGAGTTAGTTGGACCGGAGCGGTGGCCATAACTGGCTTGGGATGATTTCCCCATCCTTAGTTCAAAGCTTGAGTCACTTGGCACCACTTTCCCAATTGTTTTTATTTCCTTCTTATCCCTGTTGTGTCTACCGCCTTCACATATTTGAGCGCCTAAGTCGCGTTAAGACCACTTGGAGAAACGCCCGATTTGCCTCCCCAAGCACAAGCCACGCACGGATCCACCCAGACGCACGCCTGAGACGCACGCTGGCACACGCGCTCACACGCGCGCGCACACACACGACCCGGGTTCCTGCCGCGGGTCGCTGCTCCTGTTGCATTATGCAAAGGTGGCTAGGAAAATGCTCTGACTTACATACATGTAGTCGCTCTTCTCGCCAAACCCAGTGTGTAATTACTCTCCGGAGGGGGGAGGGGCGCGTCTGGAGGAGTTAACTGTGACAAGGACGGACAGTAAGTGCCATCTTGGGAGGTTCCAGGAGCAAAGCGCCAGAGGCGACAGACGCGGTGGCCTTCGCCTCTGGTAGTTGCCGCCGGCCGGAGGCCAACGTTCTACAAGAGTTTTTCCCAGCTTCAAGTGTGGGTTTCGCCCGCCCCAGTCACCCGCCTCCCCGACGCTTCCTTTCCTTGGTTAGCGCCCCGACCTGCTGGCAACCTTGATCTTGGGCCTCATTAGGAGTGAGAAAGGACCGCACCGGCGCTGAAGCCGTGGGACGAGCTCCCGACAGGTCAGCGCGGCGGAGGGATCTTCCCAGGCGGCTCGGCGCCCCTGCGAAGACGCTGGGGCAGCTGGAGAGGCTCTGCCTCGCCCTCCTCGCAGTCGCCTAACCTCGGCACTCAGCGCCGGGACCTGCGGTCATTATCCGCCCTCTCCCGGAGCCCCTACGCACTCAGCACAGGAAGGGAATTCGCGTTCAGACCCGTGTGCTCCCGCGCCTTCTCCCCGGCTGGGACACCAGAAAGACGCACTGGCGAGAGCTCAGTGTCCGGCCACTGAAGATCAGCAGAGTGGGAGAAAGACTTGGTCTTGGAAAAAGTAACCCCCTCCCCAACGTGAAGGAAAATGAACATGCACCCTCCGCATCTTCTTTGCCACTAAAAGATCCCGGATTGCTAGCATGGGGCGGGCTGGCGGCTTTAGAAGCAACCGCCTGATAATAACGCGGGCGACATTAACAGCAGATGGAACGGGCGCGGGGGTGGAGAGTAGGGGGGTGTTACTCCTAGAAGTTAACAGATTCAGTCTGGTGAAGTGAGAGGCTGGGTTCTGGCAAGCTTCGTGGCTCTAGAAACCCCATTTTAGGATGGATGCTCCCAGTTGGCTAGCAAATTTGTGTTTTGACCCAGAGCTCAGTTACAAAACTCCTTAAGGGAGGTGGAATCATCCTGCCAATAGACCTCCCTAAGGTCGGGGGAGAGTTAAGCAACCATTTCTCTCCGTGAAAGATAAAACATCCCACTCCACTCCCATGAACCCATCCCCAAAGAGACCTCGTGGTGCCCGCGCGGCGGCAGCTCGGGTGCTTGCTGGAAACTCCACCTGGCACTTCAGTCCCTTTACCTGGCGGCAGCGTCTCCTCGCGGGGGCTCATCCGAATCCGACTGGGTCGGGGAGGTGGGAAGGGAAGATACTGGCGCGACAGCAGCGGGGCTCCCGGGGCATGGTATTGCTTTAGGGGTCGCCGCCAAGGTCCCTCCTGCCCATCGTTGACAACTGCCAACCTGATCCCGGGGCTGTGCGGGCTCGGCGGCGGGCGCGGAGCTGCTGTGTCTCCTCTGCTCCACAACCGGGACGAAAGGCCAGAGACGCCCTCCGGCGGGAGCAGCTCAGCGCCGTGGCCGGGAGGCTGCGGCCGCCGATAGCAACTCCGAGCGCTGTGCCCTCTGCGGCGGTAATGAAAGGTGCCCAACTCGCAAGCAACGGGGACAGGTTTCGAACGTACAACTGACTACAAGGTACCCAGCCTGAGACCGTAGGCTGCTTTCCCCCTCCCCCTCTTCTCCCTCCAACCAGGGAGGGAACTAACTTAACCCTCTGTGCGCCCTACACTCTCTGGTGAGGCTGGAATCCACCAGGAAACCGCAGGCGGCGGCTCCCGAGCTGGGAGCTTTGTTCACGTGCGTTTGCAGCGGTGTGTTGCTTCTGGGGGCACTCGCGTGGCCAGACGCCGGTAAAAGTCTTCCAGAGCCGGACTCCGGCACGGGAAGGAGCCCTAGCGCCTCATTCGGACCAGATCCAACCCTTAGAACCTTTTTTTCCTTTCTTTCTTTTTTGCATGCAGTTACCAAGTTTATTGAAGTTGCCAGTGAACTTTGGTTTTATTCCTGTATTTCTTCCTCCCCCGTCCTATGCCCCCTATTATTTCCTTCCCTAGCGGTGCACTGAAGATTTAGAACTCTCTTTTCGCTGATTCGAACTGTCACGTGTGACTTTTGCCTGTGTGAAAGGAATTGCGGACGGCACCCTTTCACGCCCAATTTAAAGGAAATCGCAAGGAACGCTGCCTCCCACCCACCCGCCCACCGGTGTTCGCATAAAACCACATAGTCAGATGGGACTAAGACCCGGGGAGAAGGGCAGGAGCTGAGGGAGTCTGAGATGTGGGTGGGAAGACGGGAGGGTGGGCAGAGAGAGAAAGGTAAGAGAGAGCGACAGCCTTAGCCTGGAATAAACTGGGGAAACACAAACAAGAATAAGGTGCAGACAACATATCAGAACCCCAACACTGTAAGCAGCAAGTCAGTTTTAAGCTTCCATATTTTGATCCGCAATATTTCCCCAGCTCCTTTAGAAAAGGTTAAAAAAAAAACAGAGAACACAGAGCCCCTCCTTGGCCACTCAGATGCTTTGCATTTGCAAACAGCTTCCACTAAGCGCCTGGACTTCACTGGACAGTCCACTGAAGCGCCAGAAGTTCGCTGGAACTGGGGTGAGTCATCTCGTGGGTTCGGGATGGAAGCTCAGACAAGAGAAAACTGACTGCAGAGCGCCTCTGCCACCGTCACACCCGAAGGAGCTGAACGTCGCCCAGTGCACAAGGTCACACATCTTCAACAGAGTTTTTTTTTTTTCTCTGTCTCCGTTCCAGGACTAAAGAAAGAAACACAGAATCCTTAAAATTCATTCGGAGGGTCACACGTAGATCGTATGCAAACCGAGTTATTTTAAAATGAGAAAATGTGTTTCTCCACCGGATGGATGTTCTGAGTTCCCAAACCCACGGGAATCTGACGGTGCCCGGCCTGCTCCCAGCGGCGGTGGAACGCGGTTTCCAGAATTCCGTTGTAAATCCGTCTAGCTGGCCAAGGTGGCAGCAAAGCATCGGGATAGCTCTTCAGGCTGCAGCGTCAAACGGAAGACCACGTTTCAGGACAAACGCTCATCTACCCGCTTTTAAACGTCCATCTCGTGTGTGTGCGTGTACATGAGTATCCACACGGGCGTCTTTCTCTGAAACCTTCGTCTGAGATAGCAGTATACACATTTCATTTTAAGAATACATTCTTTTTTAAAGGCAAAACGGAACCTTATACAGGTTTTGCTTTCTGATTTGTGTTGCCCAGAAAATGAGTAAGACTGGAAAAGGGAAAGACGGGTAGTCGCAGATGAACAGAATTTGTATTTTAGATTTTTGCTGTTTTCTAAATTATAACAAAAACAATGCCGTGCAGATGCACTCCCTATTGAAGACTATTGTAATCAGGACAAGAAGAATTAAATAGGGAAAAGTAACACACCAAATATATGAAAAGAATCGCTGTAACAAGTTTCTTATCCATATGACATGTAAGTCCGCTTTAGAACTGTGGAGGGTGGATCCAGAGGAAGCAAAAGAATAGCGACAGTGGGTCAGG